TTTATATATGTATATTGGATATATTTATAAATAATATGAGTTATTTTCAAGACCTTGACGTAAGTATTTAGAAATTAAATTACAAGGATCATTAAGTCCCAGGTCTAAATTTAAAAGTTGCTCCGTGTGAGGTTATACCTTAAGTTATACAACAATAGATAAAAAGGTATTTAAATACCAATATATGAAAGTATTTAAGACAACTGAGACCATGAGAAACCATTGTTTAAAAATATTTTTCTTGAAGAATTATTTCTGTATAGAATTCGTGTAAGGCGGATAGTAAACATGTACTGCAGGAGATTTGACAGCAGATCGAGCCTGTCTGCATGGTATTCTTTAGTCTAATTTTTCTGCACGACAGATATTAATCTAGATACTTTTGATTTCTTGTATGCACCAAATCGTAGGTTCTGCATTGGGAGTACAGGGATAATGACCAGACTTATAGTTTGAATATAATATTAAATAAGTAAATTAATTAATTTTTAAAATTAAATATCACTAAAAGAAATTAGTTTAAAATATGCATACAAAGCTTTATTTATTAAAAAATAATTTATTTAATAAATTAATTATATTATTTGAAGCTTTTAGCAATGACGGTCTTAAACTCAATATATTAAGATATTATTAAGGATTAAAATTAGTTCTCCTTAAATACACAAAGCCTAGTGTCAGTCAAATTTTCGTATATAAAATTTTGTGTAATTATCTGTTAAGGAAAACACATCTTTAATTCAAATATTTTATATTAACAAAAAGTAAAAAAGACAATAGAAAAATTAAAAAATTTCTATTAAAAATCTCTTTACTATAATCTGCACTCTGCACAATTGCGCTTGCCTAAATGCATAGCAAAACAAAAACAAAACTTAAACATTCAACTGAAATTCTCTTAAATATCACAACAAACCAAAGCACATGTTCCACAAACAAACAAAAATCAAAACAAAACGTCTTACCAACAAAAGGAAAAAGTAAATATTTTTTTATAAGCACACAAAATTAATTTGAGTGCACACAAAACAAAAACAGTCAAAATCAAAAGTAAAATATTTCCAAATAAAAAATGAACTTCATTAAACAAATTGATAGAGCAGCAAAAAAAAAGACCGGTTGGTGGTCCAGCGCTCTTCGATACCGGTTTTGTTTATAAGTGAGCACGAATGAGATTAGTGAAAAAATGCCAAACAATTTTTTGCACGTTTGTGGAACGTACGCTCTTAAATTCCAACAAATTTGTTGTAGGCGCCATGAGACAATAAAAAATAACAAAAATCTTTTGGGTGGTTATGAGAATATAAGAGCTGCCAACTGTGTTAAAGTAAGAATGTGTATTTAAAATTTGTGTAATTGTGCTATCGTTTGAGTTCAAAATGTAAGATTTATATAAGATTGTATGTATTATTGTAATAATCTTAATATTCGTCTTCAAAGTCTGGTACACTTTCACAAACGACTTCGAAGCTTAAATTAACGACAAACAAAATTATGTTGAGTTATTTGTGAAGATAAAATGAGAGTTGTCTACTACGATATGCTCCAATCTAGTAAAATTATTAATTCCGGTCTCTTATGCTCAAAACTCGACTGATTAATTGAAATAATCAAAGAAAATCAACTAGAATTGAACAACAGGAATATTATTGTGTTTTATCATAAAAATCAAAAGAGGCTCACATTGTTCATAACTCGGAATAAATTGAAGGAACTTGGTTGTGAAGTTTTGATGCATTCACCGTATAGTTTAGATAATACACCATCTGACTGCTATTTGTCTTGTCACGACAATGCCAAGTTATGCAGTCTTTGATAACTTGGAAAAATTAACAGTAATTGGAGAAGAAGTATTAATGACTTCACTACAAAACTCTGGCCTTCTACCCTCTGAATATCATTTGTTTCAGTTTTAGCAAAACTTTCTTTTTAGCAACGAATTAGTCTACCGAAAAGCTGGTGACAATCGCTTGCTCAAATTTATTGCCAATAAACCACAGAAACTCTACTCTGATGAAATTATAAAGCTACGCGAATAATGAGAAGAGCTCATAAATTATAATGACCAATATATATATGATTAAAATGAATGTGCTATAAATAAATTTTTTTTTTTAAAATGTATCAAAAAGTAAGGATACTTTAAAATCACTCAATATTCATATGCTTCCAAAAATCCATTGTCTTTATTACAACACACTTTTGCTGCAAATATTTTACTGACAATCCTATGGATGTTGATTCAGTAAATCTACGATAACAAATTTGAACTGATGGTCTATTGTTTTATTACTCCTATATAATTATATATATTAATATTCAGATGTCTGAGTTGGTGAATCAGCACATTTACTCTATTTTATCTGTGGACAGTTTTAAGTCACACTAAGAATAACTGAATACGGGGCTTTATAATATGATGGATCTGATGTCTTTGTATCTGCCTGTGTTTATCAAATTTCGCTGTATTTTTAGGATGCTGAGAGTTGGATTATTGTGACTGTCAATTATATTGTACAGTTTCAGAGCACGATCTTTAATGTATTTTTAGACTGAATCGACTCTCAGATCTCTGTGGATATCCGCTACTCTTACGTACCATGGGGCGTTAACCAGTTTTGTTAAGGCAATATTTTGCCCTCTGTGAAGAATTTTTAAAATTGAGTTTGGCGCTTGGCAAAACGCAATACTGCCATAAAGTAGTCCAGGTTTAATAATCTGCTTAAATATGCTAACTCTATTCTTTATGTTTAGCTTTTTGCTGCTGATGAGCGGGTGAAGGGAAAAACTACCAGAATCCTCACTTTTAATACAGCGCACTTTTGTTGCAAACATATTGTGTGAAGGTTATAATTAATGAAGGTTCTTAACAGCTACTTTTATAACAATCTTAATACATGTTTAAGTTTGATTTAATATAACTTGACGGTTTATTATTATATTAGGCTTATCTATCCTTGTATCTTTTTCGATCCGACAGTGTAATGAAGTATTATCGCGATATCTTAAATTACATCTTATTATTTGCAACTATGTTACTTCGATGCTTGTGATTACCTTACATTACTATACTATACTATACCTTTTTGTTCTTCAATCTGTGTGATCTATTCACTTTCAGAAATCTAAGGGCTATTTTATATCTGACATCCACATATAAGTGATGACATACATTATTTTCATACATACATTATATTCAAAGTGCAATGTAATTGAAATAAAGTTTTCATGATTTATCAGTGTTTTTCTATACTATTATTTCTTTAGTTAACAGATTAAAAAAAAATTGGTGGTAAGATCCTTTTCTATATTAGATTATACTGACATATAAATAGTCGACAACCCTACCAAATATTAATCATTTAATTTTTGAAATAAAAATTTATAGCATACTTTTAAACAGTAAAGTTTATTAAAAATAATTAACAAAAATGTATAGTATATCTTAAGGGTTAGGCAATATGAATTTTCTCTTAATTTAAAGAAACTATCACCGCAACTATATAGAATATATAGTGAAAGAACTATTTAGCGATTGACAGTCAGTTCTTTACAAGTAGTTAAAAATTCAAAGAGATTGTCAATGAATAGTTAACAAACTTTTCAATATTTGAGGTTTCATTCCAAGAAATAGAATCCACACAGATCCACAGTAGAACAAAACTGACATCATGGCTTGCAGAATATCGTCTCTGTTTGGAAGCGGATAAGATCTCTAGTCACATTCTTTGCATATGGCCAGCTTAGATGTGAGCCAGAATGAAACCCTCAAAGAGTAGGAGTTTATATCTAATTCTAAATTCATTCTAAACACGGAGTCTCTTCTATAAAGTTGGAGTCGGCAAGTAACACAAAGGATATAGTCGCAGTGCTCTGCTCTCTAAAAGTTAGTACGCTTTGATTTTTTTTATACTATGCTATTCTAGTTCAAAACAGCAGGGGCACACTATCCGAGTCCACTGCAAATATGCTTTCCCAAAAAAGCGGGTTGTGCTTTACTGAAGTTAGAATAAAGAAAAGTAGTAAGACAAAGTTGTAGAAAATCGGTTTTTGAACTACGATATCACTTAAATATTGACTGCCTTTCTACTTTAATATTTTAATAAAAACTATATTATTATCTGGTTTATTAAAAATTTCGTATATTTTTTTAAAAAATTTAGAAATTTTACAATTTTTATTTGTTATTTTAAGATATAATTTTACTTCTTAATTTATCACTGGCATATCAGAAAATATGAACCCACATATAAATATTTATGTACCAAATATAGATTTTTCCGAAATATTTGCGAAAATATGTCAAAATGTATAATAATCTGTAGCATATGCTAAATACTTATAAAAATTAGTATATTACAAAATTGATGAGTATTGTGTCGAGAGCGCTTAAAAAAATTTTTTAAATTATTTTAAAATTATTAACAATAGGAAATTTAAAAAAAAATTTACAACGAATTTGCCACAATTATAATGACTAGATAATTTCATAAGTTGAACCGACAAGGTCCAAAGAATTTTGTTGATAGATGGTGGCTATGAGTTGAATGAAAAGCAAACTTTTAAACTGCAGTTATCATCTGACTATCATCCTCATTGACGACGTCAGAGTTATCTGTTTTCTTCTTATTATTGAAGGCCTGCTGCACATCGTTTTCATCGATATCGATCAAATCGGGAAGGCCTTCCAAGTCACCGTTAGTCAATGGTGCAACTGTTTCTGGTGGTGGTGGTGAGTCGCGTTCTTCTTCTTCGTAAATAACATCGCAACTGGTCGGTATTGTTTTGGGTGGTGGTTTCTTGATCTGCTTGCCGACTTTCTTCTTGTAATCATCGTTTTCCATTTGAACTTCGCGTAAACGAACTGTCAACTCGTAAATGTCACGCTCGTTCGATTCGTTTTTCGCGCGTAATTCTTCGATTTCCCGTAAGTCTTCCGGACGTGGATCGCGACGCTCGTAACGCATGCGCATTTCATCGAATCTGTAAAATAAAACAGAAAAGAAATATAAAATATTTTTTTAGCAAAAATAAATTTTTAATAAAAATGTTTAAAAAAATGTTTGGGAAAATTTTGAATGAAACTGTGTCAGTTTAGTTTTTATTATAACGGCATGCCGCACTACCATTTAAAGCCAATTTTAACTGAGTGGGGAGCTATGAAGCCACAACCTTAGAAGCTGTTTTTGGCCACATCTGTTGTATGTTTAGCAAACTGATTTAATGTTTTTTTTATTTATAATAATAAAAATATTTAGTTTTCTACTTACAAATTCGTCAGGCAACGACACTTGCGATGAAGTTGTTCGATTTCGCTGGCATTGCTCAAATCGCGTTTGTCCATCGCCGCCTTATCGTCGTCATAGCTGGCCTTGAGTTCTTTCAGATCGGTCTGATGTTGTGTCTCTACCCCTCTGCATTAAGTTGATTTGGTTGCAGGATTTTAGTAATTATAAAAGTATTTTTTTTTAATTTATTAGAAGAGGAGTTAAGGAATAGAAAAAATAAATTGGTTAAAAATTTGGATATGATAAAATTGGGATAATTTATAAAACGGGGCCAAGGTGTAAGATATTAATGAAGGCTTTATAATGCTTTATGAAATTTTTAATATATTTTTTACTTTTTATTTAATTTTTTTTGCTACATTGTATATTATTTCTTATGTATTAAGTAACCATATTTTAGGTATATGATTGCCACTATATTGAACACTAAGCATGCTAAAGTAATCAATGGCGACATTGTCATGTAAAGCACATATAATGATGGTATGTATGGGCACGCCCCTTTTGCAAGCACACTTAAGGCAGTGATAAATAACGATGCACAATTATCATACGAAATGCTGTTGAAAAATATATATATTCATAATATATTATTTAACAATTTATACTAATGATGTTATGATAGTTTTTGTTTAAAGGAATATATACAGTGCGCTTAATAAGTAATGGTACATTAATGTGAAACTGACGGTTTATTTAATTAATAAATACTACTTTTTTTATTATTTTTGTTAGAACGCATTGTGCTTAGTAGAATTTGGATTACAATTATTTACTAAATCAAAATTAAAAAAAGAAATTCTACACATTTTATATAGAAACTTTTAATGACAAATAAAAAAAAACTTTTATATGCACGAAGGTTGCACATTTCCATATAAAAATTAATCAACATAATTTATTTATGTCGTATATCGAAAATATCATACTGCAAAAATATTATTAAATTTATTTGTATTTCGAAAAGACTTCACGCCACTCTCTCGCATTGCTGTAACTTGCTGATATACATGCTTTGGATAAAAGTCAGTTAACAGCACCAAAAAAAAAAAACATGGAATTGAAAATATATAACTGATATAACTGATCTTTGTGAAAATATTTCCAGTATTAAAACGCTGCATAATTGCAACAATAATTTCTTAAATTCTACCCAAGTACTTTAAAGAGAAATAGAGAGGGCACTCATAAGTTATTCAAAGGGATCTAATTATGACTGATTCTAACTAACTGGTCTAATTATAAGTACTTAAATCAATAGCTGTCGAAATCCTTATGCTACTCAGAATATTCTATAAAATTCCAAATTTATTGCCAAGCAGCTTTTACAATAGATCCTATTGTACGTTTTATAGAAATTTTCTAGAAACTAACAAATGTATAATGTCTCTAAAAAAATAGTCTCAAATTAATGAAGATCAAGAATGTAAAACGAGTACTCAATAAAGGTATATGTATTTAAGAATGAAATGGCTAAGAAGAATAGAATTGTAGATAAAAGGAAAAGAATGGATATTTTTACCTAGTAGGTACTTAAAAGTAACTAAATAGTTACTTAAGAGGTTACTTAGTTATTTAGAAGGTTAACTTTGAAGCACTGAACTTTAAGTCCATCCTAGTGTGGATACTGCAGATTCCTAACAGATTATAAACTTTAAAAGAAGATAAAAACTATTAGTATAATACAAATTTATGTTCTCATTATCAATCGTAAATTAATAATTTCGAAGCGTATGTTCCTTTACTAGTGGACAGAAGAAATATTAAAGAAACTATTTTTGGACAGAATTATAATTCGGTTAAATATATTTTATTTATATGTTATTTATTTCGTTGTCCTCTCGGGCTGATGAAGATAATCATCATACTCTCTTGGATCGATAAAGATAGTTATAATGACCTTGATGTGGTATATAGTGTTCTTCGCAAAGCAATAAAATGTACGGATAAGCAGAAAGTGCACTCGGAGTAGTATATTATAGGTTGTAACTGATTGGGAATTAGGATAAATGGTTGCATTTAAGGTAGAATGTATTATAATAATGAGAATAAAATAAGTTGTGTAAGGAGAGATAAACTGAACACATAACATTACCACCTGAATAGAATAGAGCTACAGAGCAATTGAGCTTAAGTGTGTATATGTGACTAGACAGATGAAGGAATGCATGGTATCATGTTTATTACTGATTTAGTTTGAGCACAATTCAAGTAAAAATGTGTCCATTTGTATTATGTAACTGTTCAATGTGTTATTAGGAGTGATACGTCCAGAAGAGTTCTTGTCTCATAGAAATATTTTCTTTTCTTTGGGAAAAGAAATAGAGGCGGAGGCTTGATAGAAATCAGATGTCTATAAAAGTAATGTCTCGAAGAGAAAACTAAATCAGCGTGTAGGACTGACAATCTTACTTGGTGACTTAAAAAAATAGTTTTCTAATTATTATTACTGTCGATGTATTCATAATATAAAGATATAATAGGAGAGATGCGATCTGGTATTGGAACTCCATTGATTAATGCCCAACTTAGAACTCGAGCATACTAGCATACTATCTAGAGGAGGATATTAGTTTTATTAGTTACGAAATTCTAAAATATCGAATCAAATCATCCGATTCAAAGATATCTATTTACTCAAGGAAATAAAAGCTTAGAACGAGACTTATGAGGTTGAGATTTTTATCTTAGAAAAAGAAGAAAATGCTGGGTAGTTTCTTGACAAAAGGATTACATCTCTATAAGTCATATTGGAATTTGTAAAACAGTGTTTACCGGATTTTTTCTGTATTTTCTTTATATCGCTGGATGGGGATGGGTAAAGAAAAACAATTAAAATTTTTCACATACAGGTGTTAATGTCTTTTTTCACTTAACCAATTTGAAAAGCAGTTATTAATATTTAGAGAAAGCGAATGTTCATTGATATGACTTTGAAACTAAATCATATGATTTCATAGGACGCATAATATATACTAGGTACTAGATTTGATTCTATTGTAGAGATAGCTTACCTTAGGCGTTCATCTGCTGCTAATAATTTTTTCTTATGGCGATCAGCCAACTCCAGCAAAGCTTCATCTTTTTCAGCTTTCAATTTTGCCTTTTCTTTAACTAAAATTAATAATTAGAATAAATTTAATATTTATTTAAAAATAATTTTATTTCAACTGACTTAGCTCTCCTTGGTGTAAATCGGTTAACTCTTGTTTTGTGTATTGTAACTCCACTGAAAACTCTTCTTGCACTTGCTTCAAGCGCTCAAGAAAATCCTCCTCCATTTCTTGTTTCTTCTCTTCAAATTCTTTGCGCAAGGTTGCTATTAATATAGGAAAATTTTTAATAAATTTTAAAGTTAATTTAAAAAAGAATATTTGTTAACCTTCTAGTGTCTCGCGTCTTTCCTCCTCACGACACATGGCATTTTGATATTCACGATCAGCCCGATCCAAATGCATACGTGTTTGAAGCAGCGCATTATCCGACCTATCCCTTAATTCCAGATATTCTTCCTTTTTGCGCTCCAGTGTTGCTTCTGTTTCCGCCAACTTTATTAAAATATATAATGTTTTATTATTAATTTATTTAAATATAAACAATTTTTTTTTGAGGTTATGTATGTAAAATAGTCTCTTCCTGCACTTTCTCTGTTGGTACTAAGTTTTATCATAACAGATATACATTTAATATAACTAATAAGTCATAAATGATAAAAACTCATAACTTGATGGTGTTTGATATATATGGTGCTCTCTTTTAAAATACTATAGATTCGGAACGTTTTTTTTTTATTCTATTTATATAGAAGAAAGTGGTAAGCAAGTGGTGTTCTCTTTTAAAATACTACAGATTCGGAATGTTTTGTTTTGATTCTAATTATATGGAAGAAAGTGGTAAGCATTATAAAATATAAGAAGAGGAAATAATATTTATTAATAAAACTAAAATTTTATATTAAGAGAAGGTTTTTGAGATATTGAGATTTTTAAGACGAATGAGTTCTTTAAGTAGAGTTTTCGGTACTGAAAATATACCATACTATATGATATCTTTAATTTTTTGAATGGAGTACTGGCTTTGTACTCCATAGTACTGGGTACTTTTTACATCGGTTCAAAAGTATTGGCCATGATTATTTGACGTCAAATCAAAATGTTTGAAGGCATTTATTATTGCCGGTGAGATGGAGCTTTATCATTGCGTTCACTGATAAAAGGTACGGTACTCGTAAACGATGAAGAATGACTGAATGGATGTGGTAATACTGGTGTATTGAAGGAGACTATTGTGTAAAAGACATATGCATGACGTTTAAACATTCAAACATACATATATGTATGCATATATATATATGCATATATATATATACATATATATATATACATATATATATATGGAATGGAAAATTTTTCGTCTACACCCCCTATTTATTAAATTTTCAAATTTTATTTATTCTTACCTCGGCTCGAAGTTCTTCTTCTATTGCTGTGTATCGCGTTGTTAGCGCTCGCAATTCTTCAACATGTTCTTCTTGAATTTTATCCAAGGCTTCACGGCGATCGTCTGCATAAACAGATTCGAGTTCATTTTTCAGTCTTGTCATCTCTGTGCTGTTGGCGGGAAAATGATAAAAATGATTATTAAATTTCATTTATTCTAAAAAATTTATAAAAGTTTTTAAAAATAAAGTTTATTTTGCTTACTGTAGTTTCGTCTCCCAGAAAGAGGCAGCTTCATGGCGAATTTCATCAATACGATAATTAAGTTGACGCTCTTTGTCTCGAATGGTACTAAAAAAATTAAAATTTTTATTAAAATTAATTAATATCAATTCTTTCGTGAACAAATGATTTTATTAAGTATTTATTTCAGGCTGATTGGTTAAATTTATTTTTTATTATTATTGTTAAAAAATAAAAATTAAGAAAAACTAAATCACAATTTATTTTTTAATAATTTTTATTTTATCAATATTTCGACTTTAGTCATTTCATGATTCAGTTTCCATAAGAGGTCTTTAGACTAAAGTCGAAATATCGATAAAATAAAAAAAAAAATTTGACCAATGAGCCTGAAAAAAACACTTTTATTAAAATGAATGAATAATATTAAATTTAAATATAAACTACACATATAGATATAGAAATATATATATATATATAGATATATAAATATAGTTATATGAAAAATTGTCTGCGTACTTATCACATTGATATTTAAGTTGAGACCTAGCGTGTATTTCTTCTTTAAGATTCTCTTTTGTTTCGGTTAATTCAGTTGTTAATCTTTCAAGTTGAGTAATGAGAGCCTGTATGGATTGTTCTTGTTCTCCAACAACTCCACGCAAGGAACGTACTTCTGCTTCGAAGGTTTTTAAAGTTTCCAACTGCTCATCTCGTGCAGCTAAATCATTCTCCAACTCTTCTACTTTTTGTAGAGCTTCGCGACGTGCACTTTCGGATTTCTCCAATTTTTCCTTACATGTTCCCTGAGTTTGACGAATTTTCCATTCACAGTCTTCCATTAAAGTTTCTTCTCTATCTATTATTTAAAAGTAATAATTATATATTTTTTTTTGTTAATTTATTTTATTAAAATTCATTGAATTACCTCTGTTTTGTGTTCGCATTATTTCAAATTCAGTTTGCCATCGATCTTCACATATTCTTCTTTCATTTCTAGAGATTTTCAAAGCATTGTTTAATGCCGATATTTGTTCTTCAAGTTCGGCACGTATTTTGATCACTTCTTGACGCCATTCTTCTGCATCACTTTGTGCTGCAGCGAATTGTGTTTGTAGGTTACTAGCCAAAGTCTTGGTCTGTTTGAATTTCTCCATAAGTTCCGTATGTTTTTCTTCAAGCTCTCCTGTAGTTATAGATATTAACTATTTTAGTTTAGAAATATATACAAATATATCTATATATATTCTAAAAATAGAAATAGATTGAAAGGTCAAGAAGCATATAATATTTTTAAAAAAACGGCATATCAAAAGGTCAAGGATTTCTTTTAATCCATTTTTTGTAGAGTTCTAGCTCTTTGGGTATAGCACATAATATATTACAATTACTTTTGCTTTAATTTTTTGGACATAAAAAATGTTATCTGAAGGATGGGTATGACTATTACTCAGTATTGACTTTAAAGCAATAGTGGAATGTTAACTTTAATGTAGTTTTTGATTGTTTTTCAAATCATTTTCTGTTGAAAGGAAAATATAGGTATGGGTATATTGCAATACACCATTAACTAAGTAACAATCGAAATAATGGAATAAGCTCTCTCTGATGAATGGCATTTGCTACGGATTTGAACTCCAACTATTACTAACTTCTTATCCTTTTTAAGCGATACAGTTAAAATCTATTTTATTTTCTTTAAAATTTTTTAACTTTTAGCAAATAAATAAATGGTTTGAACGTAAGAAGAAATAGTTTTCTTGATTTTTTAATCTAACTCTAGGATTTTTTATTCAATTTTTTGACCTAACACTTTCATTCACTAAATTTGTTTCATTGATATATTAGTAATCAATGGAAATGATATTTAAATCTCACTTACTAATGCGATACTGATATTGATCTTCACGTTCATCGAATTTCTGCCGTAGTCCCACTTTTTCATCTTCCAAAAGTTTAAGTTTCTTACGTACGAACTCATCGTCCTTGTGCGCTGCACTCAATTCACCTTGTAGTCCTGAGCATTGCATTATACAAATAATATATTAAATAAATAATCTGATTAATCATTAAATGTTATCAGACTTACGTTCAACGTTCCAGGTTTTCGCCGAAAGTTCAGAGTCTAAATTTCCTACTCTATTCTGTAACTCGGAAATTTTGGTTTGTAAATTATTTACATTCAGCTGTGTTACTTCGAGTTTCTCGTGAAGTTGACTATTTTCAATTCTAGAATAATGTAAATAAAAAATTGAAATATATATATTATGCATAAGTTTAGATAAGGATATATAAAAACTTACAATAATTATATAAATATAGATAAAAAATTTTAAATCAATTTAATCCATACAATTTTCTAAGCAACTGCCCAACCTTGGCAGCAGGATCTTAGTCCCAAATCAAATAGATAAAATTAAGCCCACAGCAATTACAAGATTTATGAATAGTCTAGAATTGTCTTAGTTGGGCCTTTAGGCGCACAATAGATCTTTTAGATCAGGGTGCACTCATAGCCTATTATTGAATAATATAATATTGGCTAGCATAGAAATGGGAACTAACCGATTATTAAAATACGTGATCCATTCAGTATGCTGGGTAAGGCGCTCCATTGTCTTATCTGAGTACTACCAATCAATGGTAGTGCACTGTTAATTTTTGAATAATTTTCAATAGCAGTTCCAATGAATCAGAAACTATTACAAATGTCTGGCGATATTTGAATCGAGTAAACATACTATATTAAGATCCTTTGCCCGATTCAAATATCGCAAGATATTTGTAATAGTTTCTGATACATTGGAAGTAGTATAGAAAGTTATTTTAAAATTATCAGTGCACAATCAATGGTAGTACTCAGTTAATATAATGAAGAGCCTTACCCAGCATGCTGAATGGATCACGTATTTTAACAATCGGTTAGTTCTCATTTCTATACTATATTAAGATCCTATGAAAGCCAGAAAATTGGTTTTAGGGTTGCATATATATATAACCCTCTTAACAACTGCTATTATTGCATATCAGAAATTAATCAAAATTCGTTTATATATGTTTCCAATATAATTTTAGCACTTATGATAATTAAGAATATTAAAAACTATATTCTATTTTCATAAAGATCACACTGACGATTTATGTAAAATGATACTTTTTTTGAAATTTGGCTGCAAATAATTTCTGTTGGCCTTCAAAATATTGTGTCATATTACAGTGAAGTACCAAAAACAATAACAAAATAAAATTATTTTT